TTTTTTTTTTTTTTTTTTTTTTTTTTTTTTTTCTTTCCAGTCAAAGGAAGAATTGAATTTATTCGATCCTTTTTTTGTATTTTTCTTACTTTGAGATAATTCGATTGCATATTTTCTTGGACTGAATAGACGGGACGCGTACCAAATATAAATATATCGATACAATCACCAGCGGCCAAGCAGATCGAACATTTAGGAACGAAAGATGCGTAAATGTTTAATACGTATACCTCGTTATATGGCAGATTATTACGGACTAGTAACTTTTTTTCTTCCATGTTTATCTCTTGCGGGGGAAAAACGTCAAACCACTTTCAAACGTCCCTTTTCTCGTTTCCGGTTCGAATAGAATTTTAAAAGGGTATTAGGAGGATCCTTATGATCGATCGATAATATACTTTCAAAAAGACGTTATTGCATTAATTTACTCGCTACAAAGTTTCTTCTTTTTCATTTTTCTTTCGTTTTATTTTTTTTTCTTCCTTTGTTGTTTTCTCTATCCTCATTTCCCTCGTGACTTTTTGCTTTTCCCTTTCGATCAATTTTTTTTTTTTTTTTTTTTTTTATCTAAAATACACGCGTATAATTTATACAGACGAGCACACCCAGAGAACAATATGGTTGAAACATCTTTCTTTTCTTTTTTTTTTTTTTTCTTCTTTTTCCCTAACGAAGCCTGTAAACGAGTGGTTGTTTCACCGGTAAGAATGAAAATAAAAAGAGTTGGATGATGGATCGTCATAAACGATAGCGGCGGTACTGTCAAAACTTTTCCGTTTCTATTTCCTGTGTGAACAACTGAATTGTATCCCGCTGTGTATGGCATGTGAACGTGACGGTACTGTTGTTGCTGTTATTGTTATTGTTCGTTATCGGTATTGTTACTGTTTGCTGTTCTCGTTGCTTCAACTATGTTCTTTTCTGTGTGCGAAAGGACCGAACACACTGGTCCGTTCCTCGATCTCATGATTCTCGATGGGATCTCGTACGAAAAATATCATTCGAACTCTTCGAACGATTTCAAAGTTCGATCGTATTTTCCGTACGATCCACGATTTTTGTGCTTCGTCTGTTGATTTCATAATGACAGACGATTCTCAGTAGCTGGAAGCTTCTCGATCGTTTCACGAACTAGCGTTATCTGTGCGATTACTTAACGGAATTACTTATCCTAATTTCACGAGCCGAGACGCGACTTGATAATTGTTGTTTGATTTACGTCTTATCGTGTTCCGTCCCTTGATACGAATGATACACGAGTTTTTTTTTTTCAATTCGCGAATTCTTTCCCGAAGAATTTATTAATCTTTTTAAAATTTAAAAGGTTTCCTGTTTTATCATTAATCGATAATATTTCGTGTATCACCCATAGGAATTTACATTATCGTCAGTCGCTTTCTTACCGGCTGCCAATAGGAAAATCACACTGACTTGGTTCATGATCGATAAAATTTTTTTTTAATTTCTTAATCGATTTCATACTTTTTTTTTTCTTCGTTTAACGAAATATCGGATAAGACGATGGCGGTTAAGGCAATTATCAACGTTACAAACGCTCGACTCCTGTACATCACATTAACCGTAGGTTAAAACTATTTACAGAATAGGTCTCGTATACGCCTGCAATCACAATGATGATCTTTACATCGATCGTCGAGAGCGCGCCTTTAAAAATTCATGGCTCGACGGGTATCGTGCATGACTTTTTAAAGCGATTCCTTCGGAACGCGCTAATTTCTCCGAATTATTTTATTAACGCGACGCCGAGATTCGCTGTTACTTCTTTTTCTCTTTGTCCCCCGTTGTTGTTTGAAATTCACGCGATTATTCATCGATCCGTCCCTGGTTTCGTCGAAGTGATCGATGAATGAAACGCTATTCGAATCTCGACGAATTCAACTCGTGCAACGTAAAATTCGAGTCCTTAAAGCTTCTTATTTTCATTCTTTTTTTTTTTTAATTATATTTGCTCACTGGTTCCATTCGCGACCAATCTTGTCCTAGCACTTTTACACAACATCCTTCGACATCAGTCTCACCGCGTTTTTCAAGGATTGTCTCTTGTTACAGAACCAAATCCTGATCACTTCTCGGTCGTATCCGAGGCGTTGCGCCAAGTTCGTGATTTCGTTACCTGAAATGAATACAGAAAATTGTTAGTCAAATTAATCTTAAAGGATAATTTATCTCCAAATTTTATTTTTTCTTTTTTTTCGAATACATATTTAATACGCGTATTAAATATTTAATACGATTTTATTCTTCCAAAATATTTTTTTTGTTAGAGCAGTTTAAAATAAAATAAGCTTTCTTCTTTCTTAAAGTTTGCTTTGAATTTCAGAATATATCATGTTAGAAAGACAAATGACAATTAGAAAACTTACCATTAGGATGAGTATTTCTGTCGAAGTGAGCGTTTAACAATTCCAAAGCCTGGGGGGTGAACGAAGTTCGTCGCTTTCGTTTCTTGTTCGTTTCCACCCCGATAAAATCCGTCAGCTGATGTAGCCCGCTCTTGTGCCTGTAACCAAACACACTGTCCTCATTTCTCTTCAATAAAATTCATACTGGTAACAACGTTCTTACTAATACTACTTTAATAAATACTTTAATAAATCACGCAAAAAGCAAGAATCTCGAAAGAAAAATGAAATTCAGAATGAACATATCAGTACATCGCAAACATCGTATTATCTTATTTAAACGATTCATCGCCTTGAAAAAAAACACGCAAGAAAAAGGGAATAAGAACAAAATAAAAAGAGAAAAAAAGAAAAAAAGATACAAGCCGATGTAAAAAAACGACTTGGAAAACTGAATTTTCATCTCACACTAGTGCAAATACCACCCCGATCGTACTCTAATCAAATATTAAAACAAAACAGACGGATCGGTCGTCTGTTAACTCGGCAAACTTTCTCTACATCAAAGCGATCCTCGCGGAAAGCGCCATCGTAAACAGATGGAGGAGTTAGTCGCGTGAACACCGTTCAACATTTCTCTCCCTTCGTCTCGCGATTCGAATCGATTCGATTCCTTACAAAAGAAAGAAAAAAAAAAAGAAAGAAAGGAAAAAAAGAACAATAAAAAAGTAAAAATCCCCCTCCCCCCCAAAAAAGAAGAATAAAAAGAACGAAGGAGGAAGGAGGAATGGCCGAACAAGAGAAATGACCGAAACAAAGCCGGCCGGTTTTGCGAGACATTCATCCCCTTGACTGATTGGCCTTCGTCCCTAGCCGACCAACTTTCCCTGATGGAACGGACGGCGGAGGACGGCATCGCGATGTCGCCGTCGCGCAAATGAAATTAGCGATCGAAGCGCGTCGCATCGAAAAAAACCTCGTAACCGTAAACAGGAGAGAACTTCCGTTGGGAATCGCGGCTAAGCGAGCGAAACGCGGTAGGGGGTGAGGGTGGAAGGACAGAGACAGGGATAGTAGAGGGAAGGGTGGAAGGGTTGGGAGTCTCGATGGTGCGCGATATACATACGCATCGAAAGAGAGAGAGAGAGAGAGAGAGAGAGAGAGCATTAGGCGACAGAGGAGGGTAGAGGAGTAGGTGGACGCCGCTGCGGAATTTATGTTTTTAATTTAACTCCGTATGACCAACTGTCGAGCCCCGCCGAAAAAAGTGCAGGCCGAGCCATTAGCATCGCATGGTGATATTTCGTCGAATCCGCGAAAACAATAT